CTACAAGCAGATGGCAAACCATAATAAAATAAACCTACTGATTTTTCAATCCTGTGATTGCAATGTAAGAGAAAAACCTTCACAGCTTCTTATTGCACTTTACTTTTTATTTGAATGTAAAGTTGACATGCAAAACCTTCACATTGCAGAACAACAGTCTGCATGTGAACATGCAGTCTTGGTGCCTCTCTCGGTGCCTCTCTCAGGGTTTATTCCAACGAAACGCCTGAAAAATTACAGTGTTTATTCAATGTGTAAAAATCAAGTTGTTGATCTGAATCTGATAAATAAAACAATAAAAGGCAGAAAATGTATAGAGTTAGGATTGAAAACATAACAAAAATTCAGGTTCTACTTAAAGTATCTAACCTCTGGATGAACTCGAGAGTGCATGCTGCCTCTTCTTGGTACTCCAGATTAAAGGTGTAATACGTGGAAAATAGGGCAGAACGCCCTGTCAGGAACGTGGGCTGAATCCCCCCACATATAATGTGTCCCTCAAGGCTGACCATCCAGCGCTGGATTCCTGCCATGTCACCTGAAAGCACATGGAGAGATGTTATGTTTTTCTTGTTACAGAATAGTTGTTGTGCATCTTGTTGGATTTGTAACAGAAAGAAGTACAGCTGTGTTTCTTGATGCTCATACAACCATGGTACAGTTGGAGGTGTTTTGATGATGATCCCGCCTTGATCACAGAGTTAGCAATAAGTGTGTCACACTTATTGCTTTTAAGTAATTAATTAACTGATTAATTGTGTCATGTGATGAACATGCAAGTATRCTACTTACTATGATCAGTAGGGCAGCAGTAAAGTCATCTACTRCATCTGCAATATCAGAGAAATGTGTCAAAAATCAATCTAAATACAAATGAACAGTCCCTCGCACAACGCAAGGTGGAGAAACAGTCACGGTTACAGAAAAAACAAATATTCTTCAGTACTTAATTTGTGATCCAATAAATATCTTGAAAATAATATTGCCTTTATTTGAATCTGCACTGTGACACACAATAATTAGCATGCATTGTAGTCTTACATAATATTAGCCTGATTCAGCTTTTGAAGTGACTTAAACGGTAAAATGTTTACACAAGACAATCATAAAGTTTCATGAATTCACAGGTGTCAACACACATTAACTTGGTAGAAATTAAAATATGCTCCTCGTGTTGTTTGATTAATTATCTTTGAAAATTTAGCTAGCTGGTAAATCCTTCTATAGCATGATGTGCACATGCAGTAATCATCAATGCAAACAAAAAAAATACAGTCAAATAAAAAAATGATATAAATATATAATATAAAACAATCAAATCAAATTGCTATACTCACCAAATAATTTGTTCGATGGGGATGGATCAAGAATGGCACGTACCTAGCTTCACATGTGCAGCTCAGGCAATGCTCTTTCCAGAATGCCAAAAATACTGCATGATAGTGTTAGTTAAGATACTTTTATGGTAAAGTGCTGTATTTTAGGAATACATTACATGATCAATGGCCAACTCATCAATGAAGAAAGCTTTCAGGAGCCCTTTGACATCTTCTGCTGAAATATTTATTGAAGCTTGGCCAAGGAGAAAATCAGAATTCATCCATAAAACATCCGTGCATGATGCTCTCTCATATTCTGAAGTCTGCTTTCCTGCAGTCACACTTTAAACCCCAACAGATCATTTAATCAATGGGTGAGCTTGTTCCTAAACAATCAAATGTATTTTCTAGTTATGGAGACAGTAGTGCTGCTTTTGCAGTCTCATATCTGTGATGTCTAGGGAGTGAAGGCTTTGACCTTTGCCAAGCTCTCACACTTCCCAAACACAACAGCCTGTTGCACTATGCTCCAGAGAGGACGAGAGACAGTGTCTATGAAAATTCCATAACATATATGACATATAATTTGCATACAGAGCGAATGAGTGAGATCCAATCACAAGTCACAGGAGACACATTCAGGACAYGTTTAATACCAGGTGTGAACAGGGCCTAAAAACTTGTAAGTGTGACTTATGAACTACTTGAAATTCTCGAGGCATCTAGAATCTAAACTTATCTGATTAATGGCACATCTCTACAGAGTGAAACATGTTTCTGTCTCTACGACAGTCGTCACTTGGCTGCAGGTTTGATTCTCATTCTTGTTTTCTCTGCCTCAGAGTTGACCCAGCGTGGCCTCAGTCTGGTGTCAGAGTAGAGGGTGCAACGCTGCAGTTTCTGACCGGGAGCTCTGACCTGAATGGCCTCTACCAGTGTGACGCATTCAACGAATATGGAAGTAGAAGTGTTTACGTATTTAGATCTGTGATTCCAGGTGAGGTCTAGTTTTACATTCTGTGTTGGAGTCTGGTGTGTGTGGACATTTTGGCCGGTCCTCACTTTCTTATCCACCTTTAATTGACAGTCTGGGGGTTAAGAATTGGTTTAAGGGTTAGAATTAGGTTAAGGTGTTAGGTCTTTAGTTTGGATGGTAAGGGGCTCGGTAATGCATTATGCCAATGAGTGTCCTCACAAAGATAGAAGTACAATCGTGTGTGTGTGTCATGGGGTTACCCCATGCCCTGTAAGATATAAGGTGGCAAACACTTAATATACACCATTATTTGCAGCACATCAGTAGCATTAGCATGCCTGTATCATTAGGCAGCATGGTAGCTTGTTAAGTTAGTACTCACAAACCATTTAATCTTTCTAAACTGTACTGATACACAGAGTCCACAACCAATCGTCAGAAATAACCTCAACGACACACAGTTTTATTTCACAAACATTTATTGTTATTAAATGTTTTGGGCACATGTGTTTGTGATGTTATGTCCACCCTCCCTCACCTTACTGCAGGGTCCTGGTCCCACTGGCAAACAGGAAGTGGGAGATTCCAACTCCATTTATAGAGAGGGGAATCTGGAGTGTACCACATAAAAGCCAGTCCAGAGGGGTGTTTTAAATGATATCACAGAAATGCTCTTTTAAATGCCCATCTAATATAATAGTGTGATATTTCTGTGACAGGCTAGGTCGGGTTAAATGCTGATGGGTATATATATGTATTTTTCAATGTCATATCTGATAGAGATTTGTTAATTGATATTTGTCTCTATGGTTTGTCTGGTAGGAGGGGCTTCCACTATAAAGGCAGTGGGTAGATGCTCCTCAGGGGGATTAAGCTTGGGCCTGGAGGCCGTGTGTATGAGAGCCCAGAGTCAGTGGCTTAGTAACGAGTATTTGACTTCAGTTTGAAGAGTTTTGTTTATTTGTTTAGTATCTTTTCAATTTTTTTTTCAACTATGTACATTCTCACATTGTACCTGCACGGTAACTAAAATACATTTCAGCACCAGGTGAAGATCTCGAATCATGCCTCCTTCTTCCACCATGGGGCGCAGTATTACAGTGTGTCTTTGTCCCTTATCACCAAGTTGCAGTGCACACTGAAAAACCACACAGCTCGACATGTCCCCATCATTCACTAAATCACTGATCACAGTGCCAAGTTTTAGCGAGATCAACTGACAGTGTTTATCAGCATTTCCTCTAACTGTTCTTCTTTCTTGTGTTTTTGTCTCCCTACAGGATCCTGCACTGTTTGTTGGATCTTATTTTCTCTTCTGATCATCCTTGCAGCAGCAGCAGCAGCAGCAGT